TGTTGGACTACATAGTGAGTTACCTGAATGTGGATGCGGATGGTAACTGCGGATTTCGGGTCATCGCGAGTCACATGTATGGTCATCAGAAGTACTGGGCAGATGCAAGAGAAAACATTGCGAAGGAGGTCGACAACCACCCTGAATTGTACGAGTACATCTATTTTAGAGATATCGAGGCCGGACTCCGTCGCGTAAGGTGGGCCAGAGGCCCTTGTGGACCGACTCACTAGTTCGAAGTTCCGCAGGACCTCTATGCCGTTGCGACCCTATTTAATGTGGTTGTCGTTCAGTTGAGCTCTGGTCCACAAGGTGGGCAGCACGACTTATTCAGCACCACAGTGTTGCCTCTCACTGCACGATCATCGGCTAGAGGACCATGTCGTGAGATTGCCATTTGCCATCTTGGTACCGTAGAACACTACATTCGTTTACATTTGACTGATGATTGTCCATTACCGCCTATTCATAACATGTGGTTCCGTTACCGAGATCAATCGGTTGTGGGTTGGGAGCATCAGTACCAGTCTAGGTTGCAATTGTGGTATACTGTTCAAACAAATCGTTCTTGAATAAAAGAACGATATTATTCAGTTATGGTATGACGCTTCTCATTCAACTTAAGTTTAGCAAATAAAAATAAATAAATGAATCAGTTCAACTTAAGTTTAGCAAAAAAAAAAAAAAATCATTCAACTTAATGTTTTACAATAATAATTAAAAAAAACATTCATTACATCATTATTGCGCATTGTCGTAATCCAACTTAAACTTAGCCAGCTGTTCTTCGACTTCCGCCGCCTCCGGACAGTCTGGAACAATCTGCTGCAAGGTCGATGTAATGCCCAAAAGGCGGTCCACCCACTAAAAAAATGAAAGAATAAAAAGATAAGACTAAAATTTATTAAAAAAAAAAATTATTGTAATGAATTAACATTAATTAAAATTTAGTAACCAACTTACATATGCGGTATTGACACGCGTTGGGACCTCGTTCTCGTCCGGCAGCTCCTCGCCCATGAGAGTCGGATGGGAAACCCGACTGTACCACTGCTGGTAATCCTCAATCGCCTCCCCGCGATCCTGTGTGGTGTGGGCCAACATACCGGTGTTGACCGTCCCAGACATCGGGAATTGGGTCTAGGCACCTACTGCACCAGCCTCAGAATGCTCAACCTTGTAGTTCCTAGACTCCCAAGCACGTACTGCACTGATTGGCGGGAATATAGGGGGAGGGACAGTCTGGACATACCCCAGCTGACGCAGACACCGCGCAGGCAAGTACGGCTCGACGACATCGCGGTATCGAATCCATCCGCTATAAAGAGTCCTCGGCTCTATCGCATCTGGGCTGGAGCTGCCGTATGGCAACCATTGCACCTGTTCACAGTTGCATAAGAGCATTTATAAAAATAATTATGTTATTTTAAATAACAGGTAACTAAATTTAAATAAAATAAATTCACGTACATCGGAGGCAGTGAGTCTGTCGAGGCGCCGACGGATGGCTGTGAGCCGATCGTCTGACCGTGGCGCATTCCCTACGCTCCACGAGCGTGATCGTGCGAGACAGTCAGGACCGATGGGTAGACGCCCTCGGGGTCGGAAATCGGGGAAATACTCATATATCCAAGACTGTAGAAGAGTCAAGCAGCCCGACATCTGGGCAGAGTCCCTCGGCTGGCAATACCTAGCTGTCTGTACATGTATGCCAGCGTAGCCGATCACCATGAGTAACCCCCAATCAAATCCAAGCCGTCGAGCACCTCGTGCAGGAGCTTGGGGGTCACTCTACTACCACTCTTGTCGACGAACAATGTGGTAGCCAGCATCACCCACAGCCAGGCACCCGCCTCATCCCTAGCCGACCGGTCTTTCCCCCTGAATGCCCCCGAAATGGCGGCTTCGGACACCGAACCACGCTGCCAGAACGAACTCATGAGTTCGCCCTTGGTGACCGAAAGTATCGACATGCAGAGCCCATGGCAGGC